AGGCAGGCTGAGGCTGAGGCTGAGGCAGGCTGATGCTGGGGCAGGCTGAGGCTGAGGCTGAGGCTGATACAGGCTGAGGCTGAGGCAGGCTGAGGCTGAGGCCGAGGCCGACGGCAGTCTGAGGCTGAGGCTGAAGCAGGCTGAGGCTGAGGCAGGCTGAGGCTGAGGCTGATGCAGGCTGATGCTGTTGCAGGCTGAGGCTGAGGCTGAGGCTGAGGCAGGCTGAGGCTGAGGCAGGCGGAGGCTGAGGCCGAGGCTTAAGGCAGACTGATGCTGAGGCTGAAGCAGGCTGAGGCTGAGGCTGAGGCAGGCTGAGGCTGAGGCTGAGGCAGGCTGATGCTGAGGCAGGCTGAGGCTGAGGCTGAGGCTGATACAGGCGGAGGCTGAGGCAGGCTGAGGCTGAGGCCGAGGCTGAAGGCAGACTGAGGCTGAGGCTGAAGCAGGCTGAGGCTGAGGCAGAGTCAGGCTGAGGCCGAGGCTGAGGCAGGCTGAGGCTGAGGCTGAGGCAGGCTGAGGCTGAGGCAGGCTGAGGCTGAGGCAGGCTGAGGCTGAGGCTGAGGCTGAGGCAGGCTCAGGCTGAGGCAGACTGAGGCTGAAGCCGAGGCTGCAGGCAGACTGAGGCTGAGGCTGAAGCAGGCTGAGGCTGAGGCTGAGGCAGGCTGAGGCTGAGGCTGAGGCTGAAGCAGGCTGATGCTGAGGCAGGCTGAGGCTGAGGCTGAGGCTGATGCAAGTGAGGCGAGGCAGGCTGAGGCTGAGGCCGAGGCCGACGCAGATTGAGGGCTGAGGCTGAAGCAGAGCTGAGCAGAGGCTGAGGCTAGGCGAGGCAGGCTGAGGCTGAGCTGAGGCAGGCTGTAATGCTGAGGCTGAGGCTGATGCTGAGGCTGAGGCTCTGAGGGCTGAAGGCAGGCTGAGGCTGAGGCCGAGGCTGAGGCAGGACTGATGCTGAGGCCTGAAGCAGGCTGAGGTGAGGCTGAGGCAGGGCTGGGCTGAGGCAGCTGAGGCTGAGGCTGGCTGAGGCAGGCTGAGGCTGTGACTGCGACTGCCGTTGCCACTGCGACTGTCATCGTGAATGCGACTACGACTGCGAGCAGAATTGTACAACTGGATTCCAGATATGCTCCTACACATCGCTGTTAGGTTGCTTTGCCGGGATAGTTTAAAGCGACTGTGCGCGGCGCTAAGGCGAGAACCACATTTTGAAAACCACCCACCGTCAATCCGTGAAGCCCTTGCTAATTTTTAAAACGAATGTGCGCGGCGCTAAGGCGAGAGCCACATTTTGAAAGCCACCCGCCCTCAATCAGTGACACGCTTCGCGTAACCCCACCAGCCCATGCAGAAACGATGCCCAGAGGAATTGCCTCGATCAGGGAAGTGGGCAGCACACAGAGGAAGGGTCCCCCAGTGGAGGCCTCTCGGAGCGTCTTGGGTGCCTCGGAGAGCTTCTTGGGGCCTCTGGGGGGTCTCTTGGGAGCATCTTAGAGGCCTCTTGGGCGCCTGTTGGGGCCTTCTTGGCGCCTCTTGGGGCCCTCTTGAAGTGCTCGTGGGAGCCTTGGGAGCGCTCTTGGGGCCATCTCGGGGGACATTGATCAAACAAGAAGCGAGCATTAGTTAGCGTTGCCCCTCGGGAGCACAACCAATCGCCTCTTGGGTCGCTCTGGGGGGTCTTTTGGGGCCTCTTGGGGGTCTCTTGGGAGCCTCTTGGGGGCATCCTGGGGGTCTCGTGGGGCTTCCTGGCCACCTCTTGGGGCCATCTTGGGGCACCCTTGGGGCCTCCTGGGCGCTTCTTGGGGCCATCTTGGGTGAGATCGATCACATGAGGGGGGTACTAATTCGCGTCCCCCCCTCAGGAGGCAAACATGGGGCCCAAACCCTAGTAAACCAGATTACCCCAGTGCGACCCTACCTAGAAATTTGAGCCCCTAGGAAAGCAGCATTAGTTGCTATGCTATGCTATGCTATACTGTGCCATGCTATGCTGCGCTATGCTATGCTATGTTATGCTATGCTATGCTATGCTGCGCTATGCTATGCTATGATATGCTATGCTATGCTAAGCTATGCTATGGCATGCTGCGCTGTGCCACGCTAAGCTATCACATGCTATGCTATGCTAAGCTGCGCTATGCTATGCCATGATATGCAATGCTATGCTATGCTATGCTATGCTATGCTATGCTATGCTATGCTGCGCTATGCTATGCTATGCTGGGCTATACTATGATATGCTATGCTGCGCTATATTATGCTACGCTATGCTATGCTATGCTATGCTAAAGCTCAGCGGAACTAAGATGAAGGTAAGCTAAACTAAGATAAACCTGAGCTAAGATGAAGCTAAACGGTGAAATAAGCTAAGCTAATATGAGATAAGCAACGCTAAGCTAAGGGGACGTAACTGGGGGAACCGCGGGGCGGATACTGGGGGAACCGCCCGGGGCGCTTTCCACTGCCCGGCCCCTTTAAGCCCAGAGAGTACGAACCCTTCTAGGCAGAGCCTAGGTAGGGAATTTTGGCTTCCTCGCCGAGGCCGTTTTGGACGCTCCGACACCTCGCGAACCCCCCTGTCCAGGTCAAGAGAAGGGGGAAGGGGGAGGGGTAAACCCCTCCCCGAAAGGGAAGAAGGAGGGGTGGAAGTGGAAACTCCCTAAACCACCGACGCCCAGAGGGCTGATGGGACTCTTGCGGTTTTTTACAACTAATGTGCGCAGCGCTAAGGCGAGAGCCACATTTTGAAAACGACCCGCCCTCCATCTTTGAAGCTGCTGTCATTTGTTAAGCTTCAGAGTCGTAAGTGGTGAGGAAGTCTCAGGCGAAACGCCCGGCCCGCCCTAAAACTGGCCTCGGGGTGCGATAGGGAGGACTTATCTATAAGGAGAAGGAATGTAGGAGGGGGAGGAGGAGGGGGAGGAGGAGGAGGAGGAGGAGGAGGAGGAGGAGGAGGAGGAGGAGGAGGATGAGGAGGTCGAGGACGAGCAGGAGCAGGAGGAGGAGGATGAGGAGGAGCAGGATAAGGAGGAGGAGGAAGAGGATGAGTTTAGAAGCCTGTAAAAGGGAAAATGGGGGGCGGGAGGCCGCGACCAGAAAACGTCTGTCTGCAGAATGGATGTGAGAGAATCGCTAGATACTGATACTGTGTGATGGTGGAACACAAACTCTGTGTGTGATGGTGGAACGCAAGCTGCGTGTGGCTCTCCGGAACAGCGCGATTCCGAGGGAACAGCAGGCGTGGGAGTACGAGTTGTCACAGGAGGCGGGGGCGAGGCCGCTAGAACCAGGTCCCAGGCTGGAGGAGGCTTCGGGCTCCCCAGCTGTTTCTCCTACGCTTCCGCTTCCTCTGGATGCTGCTGTTTTCCTCCAGGTCGACGGGGTCCTTCGGGTCCTTCGTAAGCACTCCGTAGTCGGGCCACGGTCCAGTCCGACATGATGAATGACGATTTGCGGTTTTGTAAGCGGTGTGGAGCCTCTGCGCACCAGCGAGGAGGCCTGCTGTCCAAGTGTCGCGGTCGTGCTCAGCAGGGCAATGTAGCACCCCGCCGTTGCTGCTAAGAGTGAGGGGGCGGGCGCGGGGTGGGTCGCTGGCGGGTCGCGGGCGGGTCTCTGAGCGTGTCGCGGGTGGTCGCAGGTGGGCCGCGGGTGGGTCTTGGGCCGGGTCGCGGGCTGGGTCGCGGTTGGGACGACAGCAACAACCCGAGTTCACCATGAACAACAACATTTCCATCAACAAAATCAGCCGCAACAACACCATCAACAACACCACCAACAACAGCAACAATTGCACCAACAGCAGCAGCAGCACGAACAGCACCAACAACACCAACCAAACAGCCACACAAGCAAACAAACACACAACGCCACCACCAACAACATCAACACCAACATTACCAACACCAGCAACAACAGTAGCAACGCCAACAAACAACATCAGCACCACCACCATCAACAAATAACACACAACACCACCATCCCCACCACCACCAACAAAAGCAGTAACAACACCAATAACAAACAACAACACCGACACCACCACCACCAATAACAACACACAGCTCACACCACCACCATCACCACCACCACCGACAACAATTACAACAGCAATACCAACAACACGAACGCCACCAACAACACCAACAGTAGTAACAACAGCAGCAGCAACAAGAGCAACGCAACAACTCTCTCCATCGCGGAACCCCACTTCAGGTGAATGACCGTTTGGCCCCCCTCGTTCTGATCTGACTCGTCGTTCGGGCCTCAGGCGCGGTCTGTTTCCTGGCCTTCTTTTATGCAGGTAAACTCGGCAAATCCGCAACATGGGCCTGCCTGTGGGCCGTCGGACTCGATGAAAGCCGTTTTGTGTTCTTCGTTGGCCAGTGGTTCGGCGGGTTCGGCTGGTCTCGGGGGACTTGACAGCGAAGCTGTAGGGCAGTCTGCTGCGGCCCAAGCGGTCTCTCTCCCGACCTCGGCGGTGGCGTACGTGCGGACCGATGTATAAGATCGAGGTCGGTTCGGGGAGGGTGCCCTACTGTTTTCCATGTTTGTTTGATGTTTTCGTGCATCCTAGGGGAGGGTACCCTCGAATGTTCTTCAGCTTGGCCAGCGGAGGGTCTCATGTTCTTGAAGGATGCTCTTCTGTCCTAGGTCCGACCGTACATAATTACCCGCCCTCGGTGCCCACAGGATTGCTAACTGCACGGCTCGAGAGACAGACCAACGCCGCCGTGAAGAAAGCGGCACTGCTTGGGATGAGGAGGATAGCACAAGCTAGCCTCTTGTCGCTTTGGCCTGTGAGTAGGGTAGGTTCTTGAACGGCCCGTATCATCAGCACCCTCAGCACCCTCCTTTTTCTCCCCCCCTCCCTTCCGCAGCCGAGAAGCCAGCCACGAGGAACGCGGTAGTGCCCCCCCGAAGATCGTCGACCCGTGCTGGTTACCTGGCGTGCGGTGGGCGTTCCCGACCCCCGGGCCCCTTCCTGAGCCGCCGCCGCCACCCCGCCCGGCCAGGCCCCGAGCCCAGCGGCGCCCCGGCGGCTGTTCTTTTCTCCCGCTGGCGGCGGGGCGCGCGCCGCAGGAGCGCGAGACATATCTTGTTGTTGTTGTTGAACATTATTACTTCTAAAGAATAATTATTGTTGGGACCCCTGGTGCACGGCCCCCTCGCCGCGCCTAGGCCGCAGCCATGTTTTCATCATTTTCGCGAGGAAGTCTCCGGCAAAACGGGTTGGTCCGGATCCGGTTGTTTTGTTACGGGCGGTTTTCCCTTGCAAAAAATTAGGCAAAGTGGACATTTCTTGTTCTAACATAACCAAATTTCAAGAACCCCTTGCAAAAAATAAGGTAAAGTGGACATTCGCGCGCGCAAGAAGTCCTTCCAAAACCTTAGTGTTCGTAGCGATTTTATCATCAAAACATCAAAATCCAATGGTTTTCATAAGATTTTCATAAAAAAGTGTCAAAATTGTCAAAAATTTCATCCCGCGTCGTCGTCGCTCTTGCGGATATTTCTCTGGGAGGATATTAGGAAAAACCCGCAACACTTTTTAAAATTTCTGTCAAACGGGCTTTTGCGATCAACTTCTTCACGTGCTTCGAACTTCTCCAACAACGGTTGCGCACCTGCCAGGGCCATCATCCCTGTCATATAATACCATGCGGGACACATTCGTTTTTTCTTTCCGTGCGCACGCCGAAATCTTCAAAAACCATTGGGTTTCGTAGGAATTTTAGCACCGCGCAACATAAATCATACGAATCGCACCGTGGGACCTCGAAAAACATTTGTAAGTCACCTGCTCTTTGGTATAATCTTTTCTTCTACGAATTTTCAAATTTCTACCGTAGTCACACAAGTCACTGTACCCATGCGCCAGTGTAGTAGCCACGGTCGTTTTCCGCAGGCCCGGAAGTGAACGTGTTCCGAACGTCATTAGGCGGGAAGTGGGTGTGGGTGGTTGGCGAAGAGTCGTTTGGAAATGTGGTAGAGCTTGAACCGGCCCCCCTACAAAGTGGGGGTATTGGGGGGCGTCGTTATGAAAACCCCTGGCACTGGTGAGAACCGAGCTCCTTGGCGTGCCTTAGTAATTGGTGTTCAATGCGAAAGCGCCGAGTTGGTGTTGTTGTTGTTGTTGTTGAACTCTCATTTTTGAAGGATAATTATTGTTGATCCCCCCCGTCCGGTGCACATTGTCTTCTTCGATTGAAGTGCCCTTCCCTTGGCTCGTACCTTGTTTTCTATCAGAGAAAATCTTGAGGGTCAAACTGTGTCGTTGGCCCCCGGTTTACAACAACAACGGCTCCCGCTTGATATTTCCTCACAATTTATTGAAGAATCGCGCTCTCGCTTTGGGACTTCTCCGCGTTTTTATTCTGGAATCGCGCTTCGCTTTGGACTTACTTAGAATTCAATCACCCGGCGCTCTGGAAGTCGCGCTTCTCGCTGGAGGACTTGCATTGCAATTCTTAAACGTTCGCGTATCCCCACCAGCCCATCTCACAGCAGCAACTCTCGCGAAGCATGCCGACAGTTGTGTTTTTCAGGCGTGTGTCCGCTGGGCTCCGCATATCTCCCCTGTTCCTCCTTCCTCCCGCCTCCTTGTCTATCCTCCTTGTGAGGTGAGGCGTTCGGGCACCTCGTCCGCGTGCGAGGTGATCGGGGTCTTCGCAGGTGGAGTCGTAGTAGTCGTAGTAGTAGTAGTAGTAGTAGTAGTAGTAGTAGTAGTAGTAGTAGTAGTAGTAGTAGTAGTAGTAGTAGTAGTAGTAGTAGTAGTAGTAGTCGTCGTAGTAGTAATAGTAGGAGCAGTAGTAGTAGTAGTAGTAGTAGTAGTAGTAGTAGTAGTAGTAGTAGTAGTAGTAGTAGTAGTAGTAGTAGTAGTAGTAGTAGTATTCGTAGTAGTAATCGTCGTAGGAGGAGTTGCACGAGTAGAAGTACTAGTAGCAGATTAAGTAGTATGAGTAGTACTAGTAGTAGTAACAGTAGCAGGAGTAGTGGTAGTAGTAGTAGTAGCAGTAGCAGCGACACTACTAGTTTCAGTGGCAGTAGATGTAGTTGTCGTCGTAGAAGTTCAGTGTACAGCCGACACGTCTTACCATCTGTCAAAGGGTGGCGGGTCTTGCACAGAATCGCGTTGCTACGCATTCTCGCCGCCTGGCATGTTGAACGTGGCCGACAGCTCGTCTTGCATCGGTATTGCGAGCCGTGAGTCGTGCTCGCCAGTTTGCGATGACGGTCATCAGCTGGTTGAGCCAATCAATTGCACCTTGGGCTCGTTTGAGATGATTCCGGTGGTCTGCGTCTCCGATGCGGACGCGGAGGCGCTCGAACGTGTCGAGGTATTGCTGGTGGAGATTGCGTTCGTTGCCAGTCAGGCGAATTCGGGCATTACGGCGGAGTGGGCTGGCGGCGGGACCAGGGTTCCGATGCAGAGCGCGCTCGGCGACGTTTTAGGCCTGTTCCCAGAGCAGGTTTATTTGCTGGAGATGAAGGACCTGAATTCAGACTCAGTGTCTGGCATTCTAGCGAGGCGTTTGACAGGAGAGGAGGGGCTGTTCGTCAAACTGTGGGTCCAGCTGTACCCGATGAGCGACCGCACGGCGGTCGAGGGTGGCCTGGCCGACCTTGGGACGAGCAATTTCACCGGTGGCTTCGTCAGCTTCTTGCAGGAGGTCGGCGTCGCGGTGCCGGCGGGGCTCCCCACGGCCGCGGTCGTCGCCGGGAAGCCCGTGACCACTCTGGAAAGCGTGCCCGTGGCGCGCTGGGCTGCCAGGACAGAGTGGTCCGTCTGCAGCACGACGTGCGGCGAGGGCGAAGTCACCCGCGACGTCGTTTGCCTGACCGGCAACACCAACCTGTGCAACGCAAACGCGCCCCCAGGTTTCACGCAGGACTCGTTCGAGCCAAGCTCGCTCGCATGCAAGTCGTACATCCAGTGCCCGTACGACTGGACGTGCCCCAGCGGCCCGGACCAGGAGACAGGCGAAGGCTGCGAGGTACAGGCGGGGTTAGTGTCCGCGGCCATCGCCTTCTCCTCCGCCATCTGCTGTGCAGGCAGCCCGTCGGCGGCAGGTTCCGCGTAAAGGTGAAGGGCCGCGAGAGCAGGGACACCATGGTCGACTGGAACCTGGACGACGGCTTCTCCACCGAGGACGGCGTTACCAAGACGAGGCTCAAGTACTCGCTCGGCGATGGGCTTTTCGCCTTCTTCCAGCGCGAGCGGGAGGCGGGCCGCGCCATCCTGACGCCGAGCGATGGGGAGCCCATCGAGCACGTGGATCTGAATTTGGGCGGCGAGGTGGAGTTCGAGCTCGAGGTCCGAGTGACGACCCTGGCCACGAACGCGCTGCTCGTCGCCAAGGTCTACCCCGAGGTCGAGCCGATGCGACCCGTCGGGAAGGCGAAAGGCCTGTTGATCCGCGGGGGCGTCGCCGCCTGGCAGATCGGCGAGGAGTTCCTGCTATCCAGCGCGCGCGTGGCCGACGGCGTCCCGCACGACATCTCGGTCCTCTACGACGCGGAGCAGGACGAGTACGTCCTGAAGGTCGACGGCGAGGATGACGCCAGGGGATTGCGGGGGTCCCCAGACGCCCCCGAGTGCAAGCTCGTTTTGGGCTCCCGGAGCGCCCCCCGGGACGAGAGGTACAACGAGGTCCTGCCGCTCCTCGACCAGCTGCGCGGCTGCGGCGTGGAGGTGCTGCCGCTGGAGGAGCAGTCGGACGAGGTTCTCTTCGACGGCGACTTCGACTGGATCATCTGGAAGGAACGCCAGTGGATCAAGGGTCTGGACAAAATGGAGTGGGTCTCCTACCAGTTGCACGTAGACACCGAGGATGCCGTGAAGAGAGCGACACCGAAGGCGCCCAGGGCGGATGAGACCGTGATCATGACGGAGCCGGAGGCAGCGCCCGAGCCGAAGGGCACAGCGGCTGCATACGCGATCGGCGACGCTGTGGAGTATTGGTCTAAGACCACGAACTCGTGGTTAGGTTCGAGGGTCATGGACATTAGGGGCCAGCCTCGCCATAGCGAGGAGCACGGCATGAACGTCTTCACGTACGACCTTTTTGTCATGGCCGCCAGACAGCGCGTACCCAACGTGGACATGAAGGACCTGCGCTTGCCGTTCAGTGTGAGTGAGAAGGTAAGCGTGTTCTCCAAGAAGCACGGGGACTGGTACCCGGCCATCATACACGCGGCGCCGAGGGAGGCGCGGGACCCGAGGCTCGGGTACGACGTCGCGCTGGAGCCCAGCGAGCTCAAGACGGAGATGCTGGAGCACGCCAGGCAGCTCAAGGCCAGAAGGAGCTCCAGGGGACCCAGTACGAGAAGAGACCAGGCCGCGGAAGCCGCAAGCGGCCGAGGAGGAACAGGGATCAGGACGTCGGCGGCAGCGTGGAGCTCGAATCGGTGCCACAGGTGCCCCCGCCCGGCGGCGACGCGCTGACAAGCAGCAGGCCGGCGCAGGTCCCGCGGCTGCCCATCGGACAGGAGGACGGCAACCCCAGCAGCAACCCCGAGAGCAGCCCGATGCAGGAGGAGGACCTGCCCGTGCTCAAGAGCATGCCGGGCAGGCGCCTCCGGAGGCGCTTCGACCGCGGCATGCCCGTGCAGGTGTACCTGGGAGCGGAGCAGGGCTTCCTCACGGGCACGGTCGTGGAGCCCGCGAGCGGGCCAGAGCCCAGGGACATCATCCCGTCGCCGAGACCGAGGCGGATCCTGTCCCCAGAGGCCTCCCCCTCGACGTCGCCCTTGTGCTCCAGCGACGACGACGACGACGACGACGACCCGCACGGCGTCGACGTCCGCTCCAGCGCCGGTACCGCCGAGGTCGAGACTGCCGTCGTCCCACAGCGCCACGCGACGGCCACTGTTTCGATCTACGGCCGGAGCGGACCCCATCGCACCTACCCCGAGTACATGATCAGGCCGCTGATCGAGCGGCGCGGGGCGCGGTCCTGGAAGTTCGGGAGCATCATGAGCATGTCGCTCTTTGACAGGGACGAGGGTCACGTCCTCGAGGACCTCGACGGACCTTGGGGGTTCTCGCCGCAGCCTTCGCCGAGAAGTGGGCCAGAGTCCGATCAACCGCTGTCGTATTTTTGGGGGTTCTTCTCGCCGCAGCCTTCGCCGAGAAGTGAGCCAGAGTCCGATCCACAGTTGAACGCCGGCCAGTTGAATGGAGGCGACGTTTAAAACACTGGAGGCGCCTACCAACTGGGCGCCGCCAGAGGAAGCCCCGAGATCCAGGCTCGCACCATTTTTCTCAGCGAGCGCAGCCCCTCCAAGACTGCCCAGATAGCCCCGCTCCAGAAGGCCCCCCATCAGAAGAAGGAGGAAACGAGCGGCCTAGGTCAATAGAAGAAACGTTTATCGAGATATCGGAGAGAGCGTGACCCACCGCCGCTTTACTGTGTAAACATTCCCCCCCTCTTCTTCCAGAACCCGGGTTTCCCCCCCTGCCACCTCGGAAAATCTCCTCCCCTCCCCTGCTGGACCCCCACCCCCTTCCCCGCGGCAAAACCCTCTCCCCCCCCTCCCCCCCTCCAGAAAACCGAGAGGGGTCAATTCCAAAAACTGTATTTCAAATTTCTGTTGCATTTCAAGGAGGCCGACGGACGCACCAGCTTTTCTATTGTGGACAACAGAGATCTCCCCACGCGCGCGCGCGTCCGCGCGCGCGCGTGCGGAGTGCCGGCCGCCATGTAATTCAAAAAACTGTATTTGAAATGTCTGTGGCCCTCTATGGAAGCCGACGGACGCACCGACTTTTATTTTGTGGATAACACAGATCTCCCCACGCGCGCGCGTGCGGACTTCGGTATTGTCCACAATCTTTAGCTGCCATGTAATTCCAAACGCTGAATTTGAAATTTCTGTGGCCCTTGAAGGAGGCCGACGGACGCACCAAATTTTCTATTGTGGACAATACAAAACTCCCCACGCGCGCGCGTGCGGAGTTCTGCATTGTTCACACTGGGAACGCCGCCATGTAATTCCAAAAACTGAATTTTTGAAATTTCCGTGGCCCTTTAAGGAGGCCGACGGACGCACCGACTTTTCTATTGTGGACAACACAGATCTCCCCACGCGCGCGCGTGCGGAGTTCGGTCTTGTTCACAATCTTCAGATTTGAAATTTCTGTGGCCCTTTAAGGAGACCGACGGACGCACCTACTTCTATATTGTGGGACCAAGGTGCACCGGAACCTCCAAGAGAAACGCCGTCTCCGTCGCGCATGGAAGTGAAAATGGTCGCGGTGCGTGGGCGGGACAGCGGCAGCGCGCGCAGTGGCGGAAACAGTAGTCGGACAGGGAAGAAGTTGCTGGTGGCTGCCCGGAACGGGAGAGAATGCAGCGACGGGGCAGAGTGCGGCGGCCAGTGCGCAGGATACGGTGTCAACGTAGCAGCTGCCGATGTGAACGACGGAGGAGTGGGCGCGCACAAAGAGACGTCGGCGGGGCCTGCTCATGAGTTCGGTCCGGCTGCGACGGTCGGTGGTGGTTTCCGGGGAGGAAAAAGGGACGGGCATCGAACGGATTTGGCCCAGGCTGGCGGCGGTCAGAGAAGGGGCAAGGAAGGCGGTGACAGCGCGACTGCGACCTCTTGCACGGCGACGACCGCGAAAGAGAACGCGCAGGGGCCCATTATGGAGGGCGTGGCCGCCAGGCCAGGACGTGAGCGAGCAGTTCATGTCCTTCCTGGTGATCTCTTGGCACCAGTACGCGTCATCCGAGAAGCTGATGTGCGCGCGTTGCGTCTTCTGCGGAGTGCGTGTGAGGAGCCCGAAGCGTGGGAGATTCCGGGGCCTGGAATTCGTGCCTACAGAGCTGCGCGCGCATCTGTGGAGAGCGCGCGGTGAAACGGCGCCACTGCTGCGTGTCATGAGAGAGAACTGGGTTCGTGAGCGGCGAGGGTGGAGTGTCGCGCGGAAAGAGCTGCTGGGCGCTCACGACGTGGAGGATCGGCGCCGCGTGGTGGAAGACCGCACGGTGACATTCATGGAGTTTTTGATGGGGGCGTTGGCGTTCGAGGCAAATACCGACGATGGACGAGCTGAGGACATGGCAGGATCAGGCCGCCGCGTTGGTTGCGGTCTGGGACGCGCAGCTGGCGCGACCCTGGCGGATTGTATCTTTCAGCTCTTGGCCTTTTTGGGATGGTGTAATCAGGCGTTGGCGTCAGAGGAGGGGCGCCGTGTCGCTTGCGAAGCGTGCGTGGGTCATCTGCGGGCCGTCGGAGATGCATGGTTGGCGTTGGGGTCGCATGAGGGCGAGCTCCGACGCGGCGTCCATGCTGGCGAGGTCATGAGATTCGCGTTGGCCCGTTACGGCACGGCAGGGGTAGCGCTGCCCTGCCAGGTCATCCTGCGCGCGCACTCCCGCTTTGACGGGCTCCTTGGGGCGAGCGGACGGGGAATTGTTGACGTTTCGCCAATCCCCGCCAGCCCATCCTAAAAAAGCCGTTCTGTGAATGTGCATCGATGACTGGTATTCGTCGGCCACCTTGGGGGGAAGAGGGAGACAGGTGTTTGGGGGGAGTGGTTGCGGCGAACACGATGCCCTGTAGGATGGCCTGTAGGATGGCCTCAGAAGGCGAACTGTTCCTCCGCGTTTCCCTCTCCTCTTCTCCTCCTTCTCCCTTGTCAGCTTGTTTCTTCTCTTTCTCCTGTTCGTCTCCGTCCTCGCCCTCCTGATCGTCCTCGTTCTTCTTGGACTCCTCCTGTTTATTCTGGGCATTTCTCTTTCCTCCTTTTCTTTTTCGTTCTCTTGGCTCTCCATCCTCCTCTTTTTCTTTTCCTTCTCCTTCTTCTTTACCAATCGTGTTCGCTGATTGTGATTTTCTAGGTGCGCGTGGAGGATCATCAGGAATGCGCTAGGAATGCGTATGCTTGTGAACGTTCGGGGTGCGTGCGCGCCACCTGTGTCGCGCATGGTCGTTCGGAGAGCTCGGTTGTATTACATCATGTGTCGATGTTTGTTGCGAGCTCTTACGCAACTCTACCCCAGCGCGAGTTTCCATGGGTCTCGCCTGTGGAATTCCGCCAGATATGTATGGTCGGGGCCGTGAGTTGAAACATCCAATTGCGCTGCCGCGCATATCCGCCACCGCGCTAGAGGAAGCGGCGAAGTGAGGCAGGTGCGTGGCAGGGCGTAGTGAAACTCTGGGTTGTTAGTTTGTACAAAATGAAAACATATCGAACTTGAGGCGAAACATGAATGAGTGTGGGTTGTTCGGGCCTTATTGATGTTGTGTGTGTGTGTGTGTGTGTGTGGTGATTTTGGGCTTTCGTGGTGCTATCTTGAAGCTCTCGGCGTGTCTGGCCAGCGTGGCTGGGTGGTGTGTCAGAGGCGTCGTGGATTTTGGTTGGGCGCTCGTGGTTGGCGGCTTTGGGGCCTGAAAGAGGCAGTTTCGATGCCTTTTGACGCCTCTTGGAGGCGGTTGGAATCTTCTTGGGGCCACTTTACTTTAAGGGTAGCTCTTTGGGAGGTGTTATATAGGATCGGGAGTATAGCTCGCGCGCCGTTGCCTTTGGCTCGAGGCGCGCGCGCCCTATTTGCCCGGGCGCTGCTGGTGTTCGCTATGTGCTGGAAAGATCATTACATCGATCTTATCCTATCTTACCCGTCCACTCCCCAAACTGAACTACCCCAGCATGGCATTGGGCGCCATCTGCCATCCGCTTCCCATGGAATCGGATGCTATTTGACTTGCCATAGTCACTTCAGACTTGGTAGCGGAGCTGGCCGCACTCTCGTGTGGTCAGCTCTTGCTCTTCTTATCCTCGCGCTATCCGGCACGATCTTCGTGACCGACACCCTGCGCCACCGCTCCAACTACATTTGCGAGGGTCAATTCAAGAGCAAGAAGCAACGGGAGAGGTACGACGTCTAGACAACAACATTGGTACCATATACGCTTCATCACTACGCTACTACCAACCGCTCGGCAACGAGCCAAAAGCGCAGTACTTGAAGCAGAGGCGGGGAGACCCGCAAGATAAAGCGCCTCGAAGACTTGACAAGGCGCTACCCCAGCGCGGCAACGCGCCTGATAACCACCCATATCTTCACAGCCTTGGGCTGGTTATCTTCGCCATTCTATGGTTTGCGCTGGGGGCAACAATCGGACGCATGCGCCGAGGAGACAGCAGCACCGATGGGCAAACACATGGCCCATACTGGGACCCTCAAGGCAACGTACCTTTCCGCGAGTACGTTTATGAGGTCAACGCGTGGCTCAACGTCGCAAGCGGACGCATGACGCCACAGGCCCAAGCAGCCGCCATGCAACGCGGCCTTGGTGGCCTAGCGAGGACACTCGCCATGGGGGTACCACCTGACATCATAAACTACGGCGCGGACATCGATGGTGTCCACACCGACCCAGTAACCTACATCATGTTCCTCTTAAGCATGAAGTTCGAACGCCTGGGCGATGAGCGCCAGCTCACTTCAGGCGCACAACTCATCGACTTTCATGTGCCTCACGGAGAACGAATCGATGTAACCCTCACTCGGTTCGAGATGGCCCGTCTTGAGGCACAGTCGGTGGGGTTTGACCTTCCCAACTTCCAACTGCCCATTGCTATCCTATTCCGCGCCCTAGGCGTCGGCAACCAGAGAGCCATGTAACTCTTGCAGCCACTCAACCACCAAATGCCCCGAACACAACGACAGTATGATGAGTTGTGCGAGAGGATGCGCTCGATAGGCCATTTGTCAGAACGGTCTCCTGGTAACATAGGATCAGTGTTTGGGAGGGGAAGGGGAACTGGTAGTGGAAATTTCTATGCTACCTTAACCGCCGAAGATCAGCCTGGCAACGGGCCCGCAAGCATATGGGCCGACGATCCTGGAGAGTCTACTGCCCTACTAACAGGGGGTCGATCACAACCAAGCTGGGCAACCAGCCCTCCTCCTAGAGAACCTCAACCACACCGTTCCTTATGGGGGGAAGCGAATCCCCTAAACGACGGTGTATCCACCTACCTAGGAAATGACGATTTCGACTCCGGCACCGACGCCGACACCATATCATCAGATGGTATTGAACCCTTAGACTGGTCAGATATCATGCGAATGGAAGGTGGCAATCAGCGTGCCGAACACCTGTTCTGGTTATTTCAACAGGCGAAGCGGAGGTGGAGGAGGTTCACACGAAAGCCAGTGCGTCGTGTTGGGAGGAGGATACGG